AGTAAACGCTGATTTTCTAGTTTAATATTTTGGATGTTTCATGCTGCAGCACTGACACTATCAAACTGCCAGCAAGAATACCACCTTCCTCAAAAATACAGGCGCGGTCGGTTTTTGTCTCCTTGCCAGACCGCTCGGTAGGTCTGTCACTGGACAGAGAAATTGTACTACCCGAGCCTAGCACTTAAAAATGGTTTTATTCAGACATTTGAGTGCCAGAAAAATTCTCCCTGGCTGCACCTGTAGGTGCAACCTGGTTTCACCCTTTTCCTAAGCTTTACCCAGCCACAAGTAGAAAGCTGCATAAGAGAAGGAATTTTTAATTTATGCCTATCTGATGCTTTCAAGGAAAACAGTTCATTTAGATCTTGGAAAGATTAAGCAACTGCCGTTTTCTACGAAACTAACACCTATTAACATTGCCACCTTGCTCTCCTTAAAAGAACATTGAGTCTGATGATCTAGTAAAAAAATTACTGCATTTTTTTCTCTTTAAATTCCAGTTAAAACCAACCCAAGGCAGGCTCTAAATCTGCAAAAAACATGGTGCATGTACATCAGTCTCTGTAAAACTGCACGCAGGGCAGAAACCTAAATGTGCCTGCAACATTCAGGATTGGGGCCATCAAATTTAAACTTGCCTCCATACTTTGCGTTAAGAACAGCAGTGTTTTCCTAATGTCTAAAACCCAGGAAGTGAAATGGGTAACCCTATTTTCAGTGTACAAATAGACATGAAATGCAAAATGAGAAGCCACCATGAGTGAAATTAGATGCACTGAAAGCTGGGAATCTTAATCTAGAGCTTTTGACACAAGTAAGAAGTTTAATGATTATTTTTTACCCAAGTTCCTTTAAATCCAATAGGAAGTTTGTTGTTTTTCCTCTACTATCAATAATGGCACCTTCTTTACTCAGAAGGCCTGCTCCCACTGCATATGAAGAGTCCCGCTTACTTTGTCAGCTACAGGTAAAACGTACTCCTGCTTCCTGCAGCTAGGGGAGATCAGGTTGATTACTAGCATGGCTCATACTTCAAGAGACTGGAGAATGAAATCCTGTTCCCCATCCCCTTCCTCCCCCCTCAGAAGGCTTCACCATCCTACACAGTGCTTGCAGTGAGCAGCACAAGCCAGATCTAAAATGATATATGGATGCATTACGGGATTTCACAAAAGTGCCTAGGCACAAACCACAGGAAATTAAGGCACATTTGAAAAATCCCACAAAGCACCTATCTGTATTGTAGGCACCCAAATATATTCTTAAAGTGTGGCCAGCAGTCCTTGGAGGAGTTGGTCTAAAAACCCAAGGCAGAGGAGCTATCATCACTGGTGAAGTAGGACACAAAAAGAACCCAGCCTGACTTTTAGCAGCTTCAGAATCAGAACATAGGAAAAAACGTTTTATTGTGAACCGGACAGATGTGATTGCTGAAGTGCAATCAATATTAACCTTGTTATTCATTTGTTTTACAGATAACTTTACAGAGAAGAACCATATTTTAACAGGAGTCATTTTTCCATTGCCAGCATAAAAGGAAATGTTATAAGCCTAACTTCCTTCAATTTTCAGCTTGAGAGAAGCTAGTAAAGATGAACCAAGTATAGGATGGTCCCTCAAGCTTGAGGGAAATCCTAGAACTGTGACTATGTGCAATGAAAAAGGGCTTTGCAGTGAATCAAAGGTGACCTGCAAAGCTAAGACGAAAATTAACTCAGAAATATACTGACGATCCACTTCCTTGCAGGTCAACAAATCATTCAGCTTGCTAGAAGTGAAAAACCCAACTTTTTCTCTCACACCATTATTCCATGACATACGAACTATGGTCAAGTTTAAATGTACTTGGTGGCACACAGAAGAAACGGGCTGCTTCCCAGGATCTCAGAAACTAGGAAGGCAAAAGAGGGCAGGACAATCATTTTGGGGACTTTTAAGAGTAAGCTGATTAAGTTTTACAGACTTTGCTTTAAGAAAAAAAAAGTCGTTAAAGAGGAAGGGTATAACCATGGTACTGTCAGTGCACATCACAAAAATGGTGCAGTTCAGGAATGAATCACTGCATACAAAGGAGGGGGAATGGAAAGTCTAAGAAGTTGTTACTAGGGCTTCCCGAGTTGCCATGCTGACAATTACCATGGTACATGGCATGAGTCTCTCCCCTGCAGCCACTGGCTCTGTTGGCAGCACAGCAAGATTTTGTGTAAGCAGGAAATCCTGCAAGAAGCTTCAGCTTCCTGCATCTGTGCAGAGACCCACTGGCTTCAAGACGACTCCACGTCGACGTGGAGAACCGGTCATGCAGAGCGCACTGAAGGATCAGATTCCCAGAGCCAGCACTTCCAGAACCTGCCCAGCTAAGCAAGATACTTAGTATGCACCGCTCAGCTTCTTTCCCTTTTCACGTTAGCTTTGCGGCTCACGGCAGAGATGGCGCTCATTTTGCTCAGCGCAGCACCCTGAACATTCATAGGGTCCGAGTATATTTCACGAGGCATAAATTGTTTTTAAAAGGCCTGTCTCTCGCTGAAGGCAGAAAACAACCTAATCTGAGCCAGCCCCAGGGAGATGTAATGCTGGTTTAAGAAGTTGAATTTTTAGAAAACAGTTTATTGAAACATATTTTGACTTGTAAGGAAGTTCAACCCTTGCAGAAAACTGGACCATTACAATTTAAAAGGGTTTTTGTTGCAGAATTGGGGCAGGACTATTGCAGGTGTCCGTTTCTCCGTGAAATGAATCATTAACAAAAAGAGTACGTTAGCAAAATTTTCAAATAATGAGCTGCCCATTATGTAACATGCTCCGAACATGTTTACACTTGACACAAATTTCTGGTATTCAAACATACCAAGCCTTCTTGAACAAAGTCACCATAACTTGAGCTCATAAAGTTTTCAAGGTAACAAGCATTTGCATGAATCTTTGGAACAAAATTAAAATACGATAGGCATTTTTGAGTCTCTTGATGATGGCAGCCATCTTGTTAGACTTTTGTAATGGAAACTGTACCTTCGTTTGCACAGTCCTACCAGAAATTAATATATTTGTGATGCTTTCACCCTGGACGCCTCCAAAAAACTAATGACATTTCAATTCTGCGATTAAATTTTTTTTTTTTTTTTTTTTTTAAACGGTTTAATATTGAAGCAAAATCTTATAGCCAATTCTAGAAGAGGACATTCAAGCGAAGACTGTTACCTTTCCTTAAAAAGATTCTACTGAAAGATCTGGTCCTATTTTTTTTTTTTGAATGATGAACACTAATGTTGAGTAAGAAGCGTCTGCCAGTTGGAAATGTCACGGGTTACCTAAGATAGCACCACCCTCAAAAAAAGATCAGTTGTAATAAAAACTATGTTCCACGTTTCAGTTTATTTCAATTACCTTACGAATTTTCAAGTTCTTGGACTGAGCAAAATGACTCAAATCTTACAGCTTTTAACCAATTCAGTTGGAAACTATGCAGTAGATCATTTGATAGTCAAGTCAGTTAATACCCATAAATACAAGATGTTAATAACTCCCATGCATTACAAAAATAACCATCAAGGAGAATGCTGTAGTTATTTAACTATTGGCTAATATTCTTCAGGCATCTTGTTGTAGTGACACACTGTCCTGGGATTACCACATCTCTTCATGACTTAAAATGACAATACAGATGAAATTCTTTTCTCCGATTCTAATTTCTGCTGAAGAATGAAACCGCACGATGGCAAAGGGACAAGTCCTCTCTAGTGCCACTGACTGAGCAGGCCAACTGTAAGCCCCCCCGTTTTGCAATCCATGGTGTGTGGGAAGCCCCCAACATGTCTATGCAACGAGTCAATAAACGGGTGCAGGAGTCTTGCAAAACCAGGGCCCACTGAAAAATGCAACTGAATCAAGTTGGATAGTGGTTTTTTAAGTTAATGCATTTTTAAAAACCCTATCTTGAGTGAATTCCGAGTCGCATACGATTATTTGAATACAGTGTCATCTACAAAAGCAGTAGAGGTCACATCCCCCCTCAAAATGATCAGTGAAAACATTTAATCTGGCTACAACAATATTCACAGAAATTGAAACCAGTGAAGCTGTCAAATGTAAAGGAACAACAGAAACTTGAACAGCATGGGAAGCAAAGTTGCCTTACAAAATGTCATTGCCTTTTTTTTTTGTTTGTTTAAATGAGCAAGTTGGGACCATCCTATTTGAACGCATATTCAAAATACATATTTGAACGTAACAAGTGCATTTATGTCACACAAAAAATCTTCTTCCAGAGGGAAATAAATAGCACACAATACTTCAAAAATTTTGCTATCTTGCCCCTGAGGTGCTAATGTTTTTAGCATTAAAAAAAAAGTTTAACTGGTGCAAAAAGGAAATGCACAAAGGTGCAAAAGTGCCTTTTTAATTTTTCTTTTTGCTGCTTAGTGAAAAGTACAGCTAGTCCCTTGCTAGAATATTTTATGCACTTAATTCATGTACTTCATAATTCTACTCTGTACCTAAAATGGCAGTGTTTATGCGCACATAAGTGATTCAGTGCTCTCACCAGATTAAAGCGCTGAACATAAGACAGAAAAAGAAGGGATGGCAAAAAACATTCCTCCTTTACCTCCAAATCTAGTTACAGCACTGGTAGCAATAGCAGAATTGTTCTTTATATTCTTTAGAAAGGGCCTCATAAGAAAAGGCTTTAAATATACAGTATGTCACTGACACATTTTAAGTGATTATTGTTTGAAATATGGCTTTCCACCACAATTCTGCAATTTTTAAAAGGTTTTATATCTCAAAGTTTCCACAGTCCAGTTCAAGGTTTTGCAGTTTCCAGAACTAAACTTTAGTCTATGTAGAAAAGTAATGAACAGAACTTTATCTGCCTAGTCTAGTCCTAGAATAAGTTTAGCTTCCTGTACTAGTATACCGTGTAGTATTAAATACATATGTTCATTAGGTGCCTGCGAAGCTATGACATTATTATAGTTTTGCACTCTACAACAAAATTAGACATTTTAAGCATTTATTTGTAGGTAGGTAAGGAATTGGTTCTTTAAGCAAAATTGCTATAAATTTATAAATACAAATAGTGCTTATGTTCTCTTCATTCATGCTTGAACAGGTTACAAATTGAATACAATGAAGTAACATTTAAGCACCACACATAAACAAAAGGGATAAAAGAAAAAAATGCTGGTATATACTATACTTAATTCTGAGACACTATAAGTTACTTTTGCACTGTTCAGTGATCCCTAACTCTGCATTAGTTTTAAGGCTATATATACAAATATGTATATTTCAAAGTTAGGGAGAAGACAAATTATAGTAAAACGCAACGTACCACATTTTCCTATCAAAAAGTAATTATACACCAAAGTTTTCACTTTTTTTTTTTTTGTTTAGTTGCAGTAAAATATTACAATCTACTTATTCATTTATTTTACTTTTGGGGAATCTGCCTACTGAATGATTAAAGTAAACTATATATTAATAACAAATACAATATCCTCAATCTAAAAAGACAATACAAGGTGCACAAAACAGTAGTTTTGCAAACATGACTGATCTGAAAACTCGTTTTTGAATGTTCAATGGGACAAAGCTACGCTTAAATCAAATTAGTTTATTACTCCTATAAAATTTAAAAATTAGAATTTTAATAACCAACAGTTAAATATTGTCAACATGCTATGTTTCAAATCACAAATACTGTTTAACCACTACTTTCTCATTCCAAATAAATGGGCCAATTAAAACCAAAAAAAAATAAAAAACCCCACGATAAAATGTTAAGATTGTCAGGCTCTGACAAATGTATTTTCATTAAGCAGTAGGCAAATTCAAGCCAATGCACATCTCAGTGAATAAAAAGCCTGAAAGAAAGAGAGAAAGAGAGAGAGACATGTAAAAATATAGACTAAGATTGCTACATCCTCTAGTGTCCGTCTATGCCTTGGGCAGAAGTCAAGAGTTCTCCCCATTTTAAAAATGGGCTACAATTATTAAAATATTTCCCACATGTGAAAACCGCATTTACAATGGCACTGAAATTGTAAAAGGCAGGAAAAAAGGAATTACACGTATATGGTTAAATTTATTGTTTGTTAAATCAAGCTTTATTGATAAAATGGAATTCAGACTATTTTACTTGGAACAGCAGCCAACCCAGCCACTCAGGATAGTTAAAATGCTGTAGATGCTTACTGGTATGTAGAAAGTTGTTCCTCTGTGCTCAACTGATTAGCAAATTTCATGTAAGCCTTTGTAAGAGGCAGGTGAAGAATCAAGGCTTTCTAACCCCAAAATTGGTATGGCTCTGAACCCGCTCTATTATTACAGAGTATGATCTTCTGTTCCACTGAAGTCAAGCCAAATCTCCAATTCATTTCAAATGAGAACAGGAGTGGGATCACCATAAACAGCAACAGAAAACATGAACAAGCGGTATACTGTGTTATTTTTCCACCGCCAAGCAATTCACACGTGATAGTTGGGATAAACTGTCCAAACACTCAGCTTTATATAAATAAGTAATCCTTACAGTTTTGTGCACCTCTTGAGCATCTACCTGGCTAGGCTGCTGCTCCTTGCAATCCAAAACCACAACATGATTTTAAAGGGCTATATATTTGTTGCATCACACAACAAGCCAAACGTTTCTTCTAACTTTGATAGTGAATTAAAGCAGTTCATAATTAAATATGAGCATTTTGTACAGGACAATTGCACTTTACAAAAACAAAATCATACAACATAAATTGCTGGAGTCTGATTTACAATATGAATTATGGTTTGAGATCACGTTTACAGAAGTCTGTTATACAAAAATCATCAGTTCCTGGGCTAGACGTCGTACTGCTGAAGTTTTCTGGTGTAGTCACTCTCCAACACATCATATTCCCTTCGTTAAATAAAGTTGAGGGTGGACGTTAAGAAGGGTCACTGAGGTTGGGCCGCACTTTCATTTGAAGGATGAACGTTAACTCCACAGCTAGATGGGCAGTTTTACCACATATCATCAGTTGATGCGGAGTCCTTAAAGAAAAAAGAAGGAACCCTTTAAAGTCTGGAGCGCCCAAAATTACAGCAGTTTCTGGATAATCCAGACTGAAAAGGGTAAAAAAAAAAAAAAAAATTTGGATAATTTTAGGATTCTGGGGTTTTTTTCCTTTTCATAAAGAGCTTCTTACTGGGAATAATATTTTACAAGTATTTTATACAAAAGTATAAATTAGAAATATTTACTACTTTAAAAGCTTTATCTGTCATTTTAAAGCCTGCTGTAAAGTATAAAACATTAGTTGTTTACAAAGACTTAAGATACCTTGAAACATCTTTAAAACATTGTTGGGCAGCTTAACTGTTACCTGACCTAGCTAGGATAAAAACTAGTTTCGTTTACAATCATTTGAAGTCCCACTTCTCAACTGCAATGTAGACATAAATCACCATGTTTAAATAGCAACAGCGTAAGTATACCCAAGCAATTCCAAAGTTCACTTCAAACCAGTTCAGCCCTATACTCCTTGCGCATCTTTTAAAGTAGAAATTATTTTTTCCTTTGTTTTTTTTTTGTTTGTTTGTTTGTTTGCAGGAGCCAAAAATGGAAGAATGATCATGAGGGAAGAGTACTGGAATAACTGTTTCACTTACAAGTTAAACATGAAATAGTAGTTCCCATATAGTACCAGATGCATCCAGAAAAGGAGAGAAACTAGAATCTGGTGTGGCCTGATTTACTGAGAGCATAAAAAGTCAACAGGAAGTGCAAAAACCATTATATAGTATGCATACTGCCACACAGAGCTACCAATGGTCCTTAAATTGTAGCAATTTGCATTCTATACTTTTGTAGAGCAATGACACACCACTGGGCACAATTTTTATATCCAGAATATAAAGCCAATTCTCTTTCAGCTACAGGTATGTCACTTCCTTAAAAACAGAAGAGAGCATTAATGAAAGTTGCTCGACAAAAAAAGATAACAAAACTTTCCAAGCAAGCAGGCAACTTGTTATGCTGAAACATTTAGAGTCTATTTCATTTCTGTAATTGTTAATTAACCTGGTCCATTACAGTAGCTGCAAAACCTTGTAAAAGAATAGCCCTTACAAAGCAATTCTGTTGTCAATGGAGTTAATGCTGATTTTTAAATTGTTTTTATTTTTCCTGGTGTGAAAAAGAATAAATTACGTAAATTTTAGCATAGGATAATCCAACTATTGGGAACATTATGTTAACTGAAAGGTAAGTGTGAGCAAAGCAACCATTATAAACTAGCAAACACGTGATCAACAGAAAGTTGCAATAAGAGTTCTTTTTCATTTATCTAGACAAATTACGACTTCCCAAAGCAATTAGAAATATTTTAACTTAAACAGGTAGAAATTGCCACTGTTCTTGTGGTACTGTAACGCTACAATTTCTCCCATCATGAAGGCATCTGAGATTGTATCGTTTCCCACATACTGGGAAACCAGGTACCACAACCAGACAAGAGACTTCTGGGTCTTGAATTTGCAAAGCCTAACAACAAATAATGCATGGAAGTTTTGTGGTTTAAGATGAAGGCAAAAAAACAGGAAAACAGGGCACTTCTACAAAACAATGGTGTTGCTTATGGAAAAAATATCTCTCCATTATCAAGGGCGCTCCATGAAGTTGCACACAAACAGCTAAATGGGTGTTTAAGGAAAAGGGATGGCAAAAGACATACTTACAGTGTCATCATTCCTATAGGGGTTCAGTCTGTTATAAACAGCTTCAATCACACTCCGTCTAAACCAAACAAAACAAAGTGATCAGTATTGTTTTAAAACCAGGCCACACATTTCTTAAATGCAATCCCTTAGAAAGAATGGCTAAAAAGATTCCGAAGATAGGGAACTCAAGTTTGTTACAAGTTTGCTCCTATGCTCTAAGGTTGACATTAGTTTACGCAGTGCTGTATGACCACTCTAAACCTAAAAAGTTTTGAGGGGTTTGTGGAAAATTACATCTTTGCCTACCATTTTTTTTACTGGTGGATTTACTGCTTCAAGGGGAACGTATACAACATTCCGTTTTCAGAAGGGGAAGGCAAGGGAGAGTAGAATGATGAGTAGCACATGTAACATGTTTTCGTATTCCTCCTGGACACGGTGGTAATAATATATCACTAATATGTGGGGAGTGGTAGGAGCGGAGGGAAAGTACTACACTTTTCTGCATTACTGAAAGCCCTGCATTTTGGGTTCTTTTCAAACTAGCTTAAAATACACATTTTTAATTGACCATACTGTTTAAAATATAAAACTTTAAATCTAAACTTTAAGTCTCTTTTTTTATTTTTGTTTATGAATGAGTAAAAGCTTCCCAATCACATGTCCAGTTTTCTCCTCCTCCAAAAGAAACTCATCTTAAAACATTTTTTTTTGTTTTTTGCTTTATTTTAAGCATATTCCCATCCTAGAGAACTCCATGACATGGTGGCAAAAGTGAGTTATAAGTGTTCTGAAAATTCTTCTTTTGTTCACTTTTAACATTTTACTTCATTTAACATCATCGCCAAGATACAGATTAAGCACTCCAAGTCCTCTGGTAAGCGCTCAGTTGAAAAGTTACAAAGATATATAGAAGTAGCTCATAATCTATGATTTCCTATTTGTATGGTGAAAGTATTTAGGGGTTTACTACAGCAAGAATCTGAAAACCAGAAGAATCAAGTGGGGGGCGGGGAGAGGGCGGCAAGCCAAGGACAGGAAAAGGGGGGAAACGCTTTCCTTACCCACAGCACAAAGAATAAATTTGGAGGGGGGGGGGGGGGGGGGAAGAAACAGGGAATATGCAGGAATATGCACTACTGATTGAGACTCTTTCAAGCTTTCTTTACTTTCTTTGTACACCCCAGGGTACTCAAGGATCTGGCAAGCATCACAGCCCAGCCTCTGGCACGGATCTTGGAGAACTCCTGGTGCTCTGGTGAAGTGCCCGAAGACTGGAAGAAGGCCAATGTGGTGCCTATCTTCAAGAAAGAGAGAAAAGTAGATCCAGCAAACTATAGGCCCATCAGCCTGACTTCTATCCCAGGGAACGTCTTAGAAAAGTTTATTAAAGAGGCCATCCTTAATGGACTGGCCGACGCCAACATCCTGAGGGACAGCCAGCACGGGTTTGTTGCGGGTAGGTTGTGCTTAACCAATCTCATTTCCGTTTATGACCAGGTGACCTATCACCTAAACAAGGGAGAAGAGATTGATGTCATATATCCTGACTTCAAAAAAGCCTTCGATCTGGTATCCCATGATCACCTCTTGGTGAAACTGACCAATTGTGGCCTTGGGTCCACCACGATCCGCTGGCTGGGAAATTGGCTCCGTGGTCGGACCCAGAGGGTGGTGGTTGACAGAAGTCAATCGTCATGGTGCCCTGTCACCAGTGGGGTCCCCCAAGACTCTGTCCTTGGACCTGTATTGTTCAACATCTTCATTAATGATGTGGACGTTGGAGTCAGAAGTGGACTGGCCAAGTTCGCCGATGACACCAAACTCTGGGGCAAAGCATCCACACCAGAAGACAGGAGGGCGATCCAGTGGACGAACGAGAACCTGATGGTGTTTAACAATGAAAAGTGCAAGGTTCTCCACCTTAGGAGGAAAAACCTGCAGCATCCTTATAGGCTCGGCAGTGCTACGCTGACTAGCACCATGGAAGAAAGAGACTTCGGGGTCATCATTGACCACAAGATGAACATGAGCCTGCAATGCGATGCTGCAGCTAGTAAAGCAACCAAAATGCTGGCTTGCCTCCATAGATGCTTCTCAAGCAAACCCCGGGACATCATTCTGCCGTTGTACTCAGCCTTGGTGAGGCCGCAGCTGGAGTACTGCGTCCAGTTTTGGGCTCCACAATTCAAAAAGGATGTGGAGAAGCTTGAGAGAGTCCAGAGAAGAGCCATGCACATGATCAGAGGTCAGGAAACGGACCTTACAACAGGAGGCTGAGATCTAGGAGGCTCTTTAGCCTGGAAAAGCACAGGCTCAGGGGTGATCTGGTGGCCACCTATAAGTTTATTAGGGGTGACCACCAGTATCTGGGAGAAAGTTTGTTCACCAGAGAGCCCCAAGGGATGACGAGGTTGAACGGTTATAAACTACTGCAATACAGTTTCAGGCTGGACATAAGGAAAAATTGCTTTACTGTCCGAGCCCCCAAGGTCTGGAACAGCCTGCCACCGGAGGTGGTTCAAGCGCCTTCATTGAACACCTTTAGGATGAAACTGGATGCTTATCTTGCTGGGATCCTATGACCCCAGCTGACTTCCTGCCCTTTGGGCAGGGGGCTGGACTCGATGATCTTCCGAGGTCCCTTCCAGCCCTGATGTCTGTGAAATCTATGAAAGCTTTCCTGGCTAGAGGCTTCTGACCAAGCTGAAACCTGCCATGGTTCTGATTCAATACAACCAGGGTGCAGAAAAGGTCTGCAGAGGTATCTGCATGCCCTGATGTAGCAGAAGGCGACTGACTATATTAATAATAAATGAATTTCTGCAAAGGACGAAGTGTTAAATGCATTTGAATACAAAGTGAGCTGCTATGACACTAGGAACAGAACAGAGTGATAGCAGAAGGGGAAAGAGGAGGAGGAAGATATAACGGTCATTCAGTGAATCCACTCTTCCAAGCATCACCTAGTGGCTGTAGGTTTAATGAGTTGATTGTAAGACCTTTGGAAAAGGCAGGATCTCGGACATTCTGTTCATTCCTAACCTTTGCATAAGATGTAAAGATTTTGGGGAAAAAAAGGCTCACTACTTTCAATGTTACTATACTCCACTAAAGTTTTGGTCTTGACTTTTTCAACCAAGCATATTGCTTGTAAATGATAAAATTAAGCTTTCCACTGCACTTCCAAAATCCTACCTCAAATGGATATCGACCACTAACTTGACATCTGATCAATCTTTATAAACATTTTGCAAGCCGTTACACATACTACTACTGTGTATTCCCAGGAAAGTTTTAGTTTTTCCACATTTCTCTTTTTTTAAAGAAATTACTCATTATTATTGGGAAGTCCCAAATAAATGAGGGAAAACAGCAAAATGGATCACTGCAGTGATGTGCCATACACACATTGGAAGGAGGGGGGGAAAAAATAATAAAAGACCTCTCTCCTTAAGTTCTCAGCTATAGAATTACCTTAAGGTGTTAGAAGTGCACAAAAAATTAGGAAAAATTATTTTCAAGTTGACAATCTCCCTTTAAGTTACATTAAGGCTCAGTAAAGCACAAACTGGGTGCTTCTACACAAGATGTTTACTGCACAATGGACTAAGTGCAGTAAATGTCTCAGCATCTATACATGTACCTCTATTAGGCTGGAATAAATCAATTTATTCCACAGCAGGATAATACTTGTAAATGTAAGTACTATCCTGTTGCAGAGTAAAGACGTCATTAGCAGCACATGCGTATATGCTGGTGGGTCTGGCTGGGGCATAAAGGTGCTTCCATGTGGGGGCTCCCTGCTGGCTAGCCCTGTGCTGAGACACCTTCATGCCCCAGGCAGCCTCTTGCAGCAAGTCGAGTGGGGGGGGAGCAGCTGCAGGCCGGCAAACTGACCTCCACGACCCCTTACTAGTCAGGGCTGCTCTACCTTAGATCAATATGCTGTGCATGAATAAGCTGCAGAGCTTATTGCTCTAGGGTTAATTGCTCCCAGGTGCACGTTCAAACAGTGTGCCTAGAAGCAATTAACTCCAGAGCAACAAGTTCCACAGTTTATTCATGTGCCATAATTGCATGTGTAGATATGCCCATTGAAGCTGAGTCCTCTTCAGACCTTTTTAAGCTCATGCATAAGCGCCAATCCTAATACATGAGGTTTCTTGAATCAGAGTCTAAGCTATTTATTTGTTCAGAGTCCTTTTTATCCAACTATAAGCAAGCTAGCATATGCTCAGTCGCACAATAGATTTTAGGTGCATTTCTTTAGATAAGAAAATTGACAAGCAATGATTAGTTCACATGCACACAACCCGAATGTAAAACATGTCAATACAGGATCAAATTTGTAGGAAATAAATCCAAGAGTAACTTTTTAAATTACAATCTAATTTACTCAGCCAAACAGTGCAGCCAGAATGTGCCTTTGTCCTATACATTGTTTTTCAGGTTAAAAAAATATAAGGGTTCCAACATTTCAGGATGATGCAACTGTGTTGTAGAAGACCAACTGTTTCCCATGAAATGGTGCATTTCCACCCCTTTCACCACCACCCTCAAAGACCTCTCAAGTCAGGTGCAGCAAGAAAATACTTGCTCACAAGTCCATCAGGAAAAACACTGTGGAAGTCAGAGAACAGATACAAAAGAATGATAAACATTCCAATTTAATGCTGCAAGACTTAGATGTGCCAAATGTATCATGAATGCTTTCAAAGAAAATTGGAATATACTGTCCAAATGGCATCTATTTACAACTCACACCATATAGCTGGCTTGCTTTTTCTACACTAAAACTATTAGCATGAAAACAAGGCATTTGTTTCTTTTGCAGTTCATTTGTTCTCTATTGTTTGTTCCTCATTGGAAGTCATGACGGGCATCAGAATTCTAAGAATACTTTAACAGACACCGAGAATATTTGCTTACTTTGCTAAACTTGGGATCTACAATTTTTGACTGTTTTGAAGTTTTAATGCCAACTTAAAATGGTTAGTCTCTCATTCAAACTTAATTCACTATGGTCAATAATCACAGCAAATGTACATAAAGTCTTAAATTCAGTACCCTATTTACTGAGGATGATGCCCAGAGCTGACCTGAGCAGGGTGCGGGGCCCCGGGCAAGTCAGCCCAGGCAGGGCCTTGCCCCCACTCTGATCCCACAGCCCCAGACCTGAAGAAGCTGCTGCCACAGCGGCAGCAACCAGCTGCATGTGGAGCCACCGCTCCGCTCCATCCCGCTCTGCGGGGCCCCCAAAAGCCCAGGGAGGGCCTGATGCGGTTTGCCCCAATTCACCCCATCCTAGGGACGGCTCTGATTATGCCAATTTTCACAAGAGAATTTGTATTTCATCTTAGTGTATACACCATATTGCAAAATAACAATCCATTCTATTTCTTACATTTTTAAAACATAAAAGTTGTTAATACCCATTATCAAAACAAGCAACAGGTGAGGCCACCCTTAAAGACTTAGATTATAGTTGCAGGAAGAACAGATTTATTTTTTTATTTTAGAAATTAATTATCCACTATCAACCCTAGTCTCTGCATCTCTCTCAGTTTCAAATAAGTCAAGGTACAAAAATAGAAATTGAGAATATACAACCCTTCTCCTCCTCCCCACATAAGTGCTTTTTGTTTTAAGAGTGGCCTTACCCCCCCCCAAAAAATCTTAATCTAGTTTAAAAGTAAAATTTAGACCAATGTAAACTCACTTGCTTGCCAATTCACCCCCTGGCGGGAGGTTTGGGATGCTCTCAGTTGCTAACGTGCGCATCACATGGACTAAGTCTGGTACGCCTTCACCCTGCTTCTTTATGATCTCTGAGAATCAGAAGTACTTTTTGTAAGTGCAGTCTAAATTTAACTTAAAAAGACATGTTTAAACTGACTTTTATCAAAAAGCAGCCTAGCATTTTTTTAAACAACATTTATCATGTTCAACATCATAAACTTACTTTTGTGCCACAACAGAAAAACAAATTTATCTTGTAAAAATGTGTCATGCATTTGGGGGGAAAAAATACCAGCTAGAATTTCTTATCTTGCAGATGAAGTCAATTATGCTTTTGTAAATACACAATATGCTATCAAAATGATAGCTAGACAACAAAGGTCATTTTAACAGGCTCCCCTGGCATATTATGTATTGCGCTGTACCAATGAAACATATGGAACAAAAAGCAGGTTTTAAAATGTCATTTTATCATCTGGAATACATTAGATTACTGTCATTGTAGAATGCATGATACTTTAAAGAAATAAGAGAAACACTTTATAACTACTTGAATGTGCAGAATTACAAACATTAAAAACAATGTTTAAACTAACAAGACCCAAGAATGTCAAAGTTAAGACAACTTCATCGCCGACTAATTTAAAGGATATTTGAACTGTGGGCAACAAATACCCAATTTAACTTTTACCTAGATAAATAAGAGAATATCTACTGCAGCAACAGCACAGTTGACTATGAATGAAGTTATAAAATGCTAAAATCTAACCATGATTTTCTGAAGCAGTGAACACCTACAACTTCTGCTGAATTTAGAGAAGCCATTAGGCTCTTATCACCCTTGAAAAAACAAAAATCAAGTCTCATCAGTTTTCCGATTTACCTATTTAAAAAAAAAAAAATCTTACAAAATAAGAACTGTCAACTACCGTCATGTTTAAATAAGCATCAGTTTCCCAATAAACTAGCAAGTCTTCGAGAAGTATATTTATTAGTTAGACTTGAAACTGCTGATCTTCGAGTGAGTATTATGGCATATGTATAATATCTGCATATGCAGTATTTTGTATTTAGTAAAAATCTTGACAAAATTTGAAAAGCAGTTAGCTGGAACAAGTGGAACATGCACTTTCCAAAACTAGATGTATAGAATAAAGCACCGGTTTCCAAGTTTCATTTTTGTAACTTAAGTGAGAGAGTTAAGACACACTAAAGTTTCTGAGATCAATATATTGATACACTGGCGAACTGATTTGTGTGCAGAACAGTTTTCCAGGCTGCAATATTCTGTAAAAAAACCCAACTTCATGACATTTTGAAGTTGAACCCTTGCAAACAATATACAGTGGAAAGTTATAACCAGTGTCAAAATTTGCAGCACAAACATTAGCTGTTAATTCTAAACCTACATTGTGAGTACAAAAGGAAAACAGGTTTTTACATACCACACATTAGGCAAACATCTCAAAACGTGCCATCTTTTCAAGACCTATGGTTAAAATTCATGCTTTGCCAACTAGCATTTGCTAAAGATAAGTCTAACACTGTTAATCTGAATAAAAAGCAAAGATCTCAGATTTGGTTTGCCAAGTTCCTTTATTGTGTAATCTTGAACATCTAGTATATTCTACATTGCTCTAAAACTAAAGTTCTGCTTTACAAAAATAAGGGATTATCGCTTGCCTAAACTACACAGTTTCACAACCTACAACTGTAGTACATTTAACATACAATCTCCACTAAATTAATACATTTATACTTTGATATAGGTACAGTCTGAGTGAACACTGATGACACAATAAATGGAGCCAATGTCCTGGCTTTTTTTAAGTTACTGAATTAATTGTTATTTCAATACATCTTGTACTCTCCTTCTCTTTAACCTAGTTTAAGCCCTCTACATGGTTATATCATGTAAAATAATGGAAAAATATACTTGTAATCCTAAAATAAAGAATTCCAAACATACCTACTTATTTTCTACTTTGAATGGCATTTTCATATAAAAATTCTAAATAAAATTAAAAATTTCAGAATTTGATTAAAAATAAGGAATTTAAAGCAACTAATTTAAGATTCTCCATTTCAATTAGCTCCTTGGAATACATATTTAATCATCAGATTTGTTATGGCCTTTATTATGTATGTTTAACAAAGCTGGTTTTAAAGTGGAACAAAAACCCCTTTAAGTCATGTTATCTCAAAAATAAAGAATCAGGACATCTCAGTAAATGGAGTGTAGTGCAATCAAAAAAAAAAAAAAGAACTATATTTTAGAATGATTTCTTAGACAATCCTTCTTAGACCATCATCAAATCTTTAAAACCATTTTAAAGCAACACTAATTTACTAGAACATGACACACAGTGACTTTACACTTATTTCACCTCCAGACATTTATTTGACCCTCCAGAAGCGAGCCATGGAAAATGTCTCAAAACGGACACAAAAAAAATAGACCGAAGGAATGAAAAGTAGTCTAGTATAATGGGATGTGGATAATGTTTATATTTATTAGCCTATTAAAAAAATATTTCCTTTTGTTGTTCAAAATGGCCATGGTCAACCAAAAAAAAAAAAAATACACGTTATAGAATGCCTTTAAACTGCATTACTTTCTGGACTTTGCTAGTCAAAATACATATTTCATAATGCAGTTATTATGCACTATATTTCTAGCAAGTAAATATTTAGTGTGCTTAATTTTCTAAATCACACGGACTAGTAAAAATACTTTTAGAATTTCTTTATATTTTATCATTTCTTCAGCTAATTTTGAGAAATTTTTTAAATGTTTAGTAACAGTGGTACTTCATACAGTTTAAAATAACAGCTGTAAAATTAATTCACTACAGCTCTGAAAGTTTCAGCAACGGTCATATCAGTCCTACCTCAGTAGATAGTATTACGTTTACAACATGAAACAAACTTAGTTGCATAAGACTGGTTCAGTTTAATATAACAAAAAGGTAAATTTGCAGCTTTATCTTGCCATCCTCCCTTGTGTACAGCCCCATTAACTTCACTCACACAAGCGCCATCTCTCTTCACCGCCTACATACGATTTACACAAATCACTCAGGTTGCATTTTTTTTTATAAGCATTTGTAAGTCTAATTAATGCAGCTATGTGCAACATCAGAAGAAAAAAAAAATTAAGTCCAATATAAAGTGTGGACTCTAAAGGGAAGTAGCAACGTATTTTCTAGAACTGTCCACATTTTATTCTATTAAAATTAGGATTAAAGTGCTTTATATCTACATGAAAGTCTTTCTCCACACAAATATGATGTCTCCCTCATCCCTGAAATGCAGCATTTCTAAAAATGCAAGATATCACCAATCAAATGCATTGTTCTATATAGGATAATCCCATTCTCTTCCAGCACTTAGGGTCTTCATTTACACATTATGTTTTCCTTCCATGTATTGTCAGACATCTAGACAAATTATGTCAGTTAAAAATGACGCAGCCTTAACCTGAATAAACCTTGATCTTATAAAAAGCTCATCTACACAGTGGGTTAAGATGAATTAACTGAAAAGTGTGAAGTTAATGCACATGAGTACATTAGTGTGCAGTAGGCTAGGATGTGAATTTATAGCACACCAGTTACTCTTCACTAACTTCTTCTGAAGCTGGCCCCTTGGGCAGCCAAAAAAGGGAGATACGGGGGCCAGGAAGGAGAGGCACTCACTGGAATGTCTCCTGATCTCGTTCTGCCTTGGGCTCTAACTCCCAGTGAGGTAGAAACGTCCACGCCCCACTGCACTCCATCCATTTTATACAATGGCTATGAAATGCAAGCTGCAACAGAACGCCTTCAGGAGGAGCGGAGAGGGGAAAGGATAATGCCTAACTTGTGGTGTGCTGATTAGCAGTGTACTCAAATCAGAGATGCAGGTTCCAACCACCCCTGGGTGAGGGGTGCCTAGAATCGCGGTCTTATTTCCTGCAAGTGTCCTAACGACTCAGCTATTGGAGCTAGAACATTGAAGGCCCCTGTTCCTCCTCATTTTTCCGCCCCCTAGACATGAGCCAGATATGCACATGTGTGTCCACAATGCGGATACTGCCATTTGGGTACACAAAGGGTACTTACTACCCACTAACACAGCTTTGGTATGGTGTCCTGATACTCAGAATGTCCATGGGAGTTAGTGTAGAGCAACCACTGGGCTTACTACATATTCAGTTCCCCATCATGTAGACGCCACGTCAAAGTGCACTTACACCGTAAGCGGACACGCATACAGAAACAGAGCAGCCTCAATCTACTTGACTCTTCAGAATTAAGCAGCAACAAATTTAAAACCACGCTGCTTTTGTATGAACATCCATTACAGGAGTTGGTGTACTCTGAACTTGTACACTAACTGCAACTTTAGTTAACACATCTTAACTCCAGCTGTTCCCATATTGGCAAGACTTTTGTGAAATCTCCAAAGTTGAGATTTTTATTGTTAGTGTCACATAGTGAATAAGGAAAAGTGCACAGAGCATTCATAAAATTCAATCACTGACATGATAGTTCTGCAAGAACTCTGCATATCATGCCAATGCATGCTACTAAGGACTGTTAGCTTGCATAGTAATACAACAGATTCATAACGACAAAATCATTACAAATCCATTTTAAAAATACTGTTTTAATCTAGAAGTGAAGCTGAATGTGTATGCTACGTATATTTTTGTTATTTTGGAAACCTTAAGCATTTTCATGGTATCCACTCTTCAAACCTGATCTCTGGTTCAAAAACCTTGTTTTGATTTTTAACTTGATTGATTATTAAAACCTTTTCAATCATGTCTTAATGCCATCACTGCTAGTAATGGCAAACTCTGTTTCTTCTACCATTTTAACATTCAAAACCAATCTGATTTTTAAAAAGTTACTATCAAGTGAGATATTACATGGCCAGCTTCAGTTCAGCATGATTGTTTAGCTATAATACTGAAACGCTGCACTTTATAGTCATATTAGAGGCAATATTACGATTACATTATTCAAAACTATGACCCTTCAATTACACAACATACTAATTAGGGCCAAAGTGTGCAACTGTACATGGCTTTACAGAAACAGAATATTCAAACTGCCATCTTAATATTATACCAGATTTCATTTAACTACATAGGACAGAAGCCAGATTTTACCAGCCTGAAGTTATTGCTGCCAAGGGTCCCATGGAGCACAAATGGATTACTTTTCCCTACCACCCTGAATAGAATTTCCAGGGTCATGAACTGCTGCCTTTTTAGCAGCATTTTGTCAGGACATACAGTATACATCCACAGGACTACACAAGGGCATTTTCCAAGATGTACACTAGATGTCCAATGGCACACAAAGGTTTAATAAAAAGCATATACGTGTTAAGAGTTTAGTTGCTTGGGGGTTTGTTTAGAAACAAAGTTACTTATTTTTGTGTAAATGATCCACCTTCTACTCTGCTTTCCAGGTACTTGTCCAACTCTGTCTCTCTCTTCACTGCCTCTGGCAATACCTTTGGTGCATTTGGAAAACAGATCAATATCACGCTCATGTTGTCTCGACTTCCCTAGTGGGGAAGAAAAAGCAAAACATTTTTTTAGATAATATGCTGTATTTCAGACACTATGTATGCACATACATTGATTTTAATCTCAAGTCCATATCAAAGTTTGTTGTGTAAGCACTTTCGCTCGTCATGCTATTTAAACAAGAAAAAGCTCTCTTGCAAACACCATTCCAGAAATCTGCATGTTGAGAATCATTCAGCACAGATTTTTCAAAATGTATACAAAGCCAAATTTCTAAGGGTGACCTTTATAGCGAACCTAGAATTGATGTTTCGTTTGGCTGAAAACTGATATTATCTGCAAAACGGACATTGTGGGAAATGTGATGAGACGGCAAAACCAGTTTTCATCCTGCTTTAATATCTTATTGTTTAGAGGCTAATATTAAATGTTAATTGTTCAAACATCAAATGAGTAAACACAAACAGTAAGGATATTTAAAGCCACTTACAAAACAAACTGCTCAACAACTCTGACACTATTGCTCATCTACAAATGCTGCTATTATCAAATGGGTGTTCCCTATAAATGATTGTTTCTTGAGCCTTCTATTGGCAATGATCACAAATGATATGATCAAGTGACACAAACATCATTATCTGAACATGAGAATGCTTCTCACCATGCAAAACTTTTAGAATACAAGTGAGCAAACTGAAGACAACTTGTAGAAAATACTTGAATACCATACTGCAGGTCCGTGATCTGGGCACAAACTATTAAATATCTAATTCAAAGTATTTTTAGCTGATGAGGTCCTTGTTCTGCAGATACTTGCATACATGCTTAACTTTACCTGCAAGCAAACTGCTGGTGCCAGTCAGACTGCTCAAGTAAAGTGGAGCGTGAACACATATTTGCAAGAATGGTGCCCATAGGATGCTGGTACTGAGAGAAGCATAAGGTCCCTGCCAGTAGGTACGACTTTTTGAGCAGTGCTAACATTTTCCAGAGCTGAAATTACAAGTGAGCACATAAAGCTTGACTTTAAGATGTTAGAAACTATTAGCTAGTTAACATGGTTATAGTTAACTTTCTCTCAAGAAAATGGTGTCAATGCCAAGGATGTTATCTTGCCTTTACTTGCCACCTCCCCACAAATGTACAAGCTCAGTTGTATCAATATATATGTTTAACTACTTGTCCAGGGAAAGAAAGCTACACCTATAAGAATACCATTTAACATACCCACTTTTCATTTTATTAAAAAACCCTCAAAATGCTGACACTTACTATACATGGAAAACTTTCAAACTTGGCATCTGTTAGTAACTGTACAAGTTAATAATATGCAAAAAGCTGGTTGACAGCTAAAGGTCATAACAAAGAAATGTTAACAGGAGAAAAAAAAGTTCTCTGTGCAGAAATGAAATTTTATAAAGAAGTTTTTTGTTTTTTAAAAATAAAAAAAATATCATAAGAGATTTTGGCCAAATATTTGAAATTTTAAATATCAATCATTTCACAGTGATCTTGGTGAAATCAAGCCAGCAGCTGTTTAATTTTCCAATGTCAGAAAATGAAGAAAATCAGGATTTCATGTCTGCCTCTTATCTACTTCTTTTAAGGTATATTTTCCTGTTCATCTGAAAAACATAATTTCCACTTAGTTACTTCACCTTTGTGATAGTGGTACTGTGATATAAGTTGCTCAGGGCACATCCACACTGCAAAATTATCATGGCAGGTATCCCTGTCCTAAAAACACGGTGTTGTTTTGTGATGGCTACCCCATGAACCAAAAACAATGTACAGGCAACCCCCATTTAGCGCTCCTAATTGGTTCCTGAAATACTGAGCATTAAGTGAAACCGAAAGCTTTTGACAATCTAAAATGGAGACTGCAAGTGTTTTTAATGACCCAAGATGGCTACCACGAGCGTTATAATGAAACTCGATGAGCGCTAAGTGGAATCAGGCATCAATTTAAAATGAGTGGTATAGTGAAATAGTGCCAAGTGAAACAGCAATAAGCAGGAGGTTGCCTGTACCTGAATGTGTGCGACAATGCTAGCAATACTAAGAGCCAGGGTCCATTCCCATGTCTACAATGCTGCAGGAATTTACATTGCTTTCAAAATCAAAAGCAGTCTACACAGAGCAGCACAGCATGTTTGTGGCACTGCTGTCTACCACGTAAGCATGCAGCCTCCACGTAAGGCTGTCTGGATAAGACCCATTATTTCCAAAGCATATAAAAACAAGTTTCATACATCAAAAAAAAATAAATAAAAATTAAAGGGGTATTTATTTTTCCTGAAAGTTATTTCTTAAAACTGTCAGACAGCTTCCAATACGCCAGAGCACACACCATGTCTTTACATGAATTCGACTCTAGCCACTCAACAAAACTCAGTATGGAAGCCACGCTGGTCCAAGCTATATGTGCATTGCAATTCTTAGAAGTGATACAACTGTATCATACAGATATTGTCACAACAGTGTATAGGTACCAAACTTCAGATACTCTACAGATTTGAACCAAGATGTGTATTAATTTAACTGATAGAGAAATTTCAACTACTGTAGTGAAAATATGCTTCTCCTCTTAAAATTCTGGCTACCTTGTACAAGCAGGTGTCGACTATCTCATTGCAAACTTTCTCAAGGTCATCGGTGACTTCAAGCCTGGATCTTACAAAGTCACACAGCTCTTCATTTCCCATAACATCCCAGATACCATCACAAGCCAGTATGATGAACTGATCATCTTCTTCTGATCTCTCAATTTCATAAACTTCAGGCTCTGGCGACACAAGCTGCTCTGTGGGACCTTTCCCATGGACACATTTGTAATCAAAGTCCCCAAGTGCTCTTGACACAGCAAGAGAGCCATTAACACGCTGAATCATTACAGAGCCACCTGCATTCTGTATACGCTCTTTCTCCAGTGGATTACTTGGTTTGTGATCTTGTGTGAAGAAATGAACCTTCCTGTTTCTACAAAGTAAACCTCTTGAGTCTCCACAGTTGATGAAGTAAGTGTGTTGAGGAGAAATCATGACACCCACAGCTGTTGATCCGCTTCTGTCTGCACCATGTTTCTTCTCAGAAATTACTCTCATATGTTCATCAATTTGCAGAAAACCTGTTCTGATTCCATTCTTTACACTCTCCACAGAAGGTGGTCCATCAGACCCTTTAAAATCCTGGTTGCTTGTGATGTGATCTAATAAATGCTCGCAGCAATATTTGGCCACCTGGGATCCAGCATGCCCATCATATACAGCAAAAAATGACCATCCGTCAAGTCCATTTGGCAAACCAATCACGGCTGTATGCGCATCCTCCATCTCGACTCGCCAACCCTGCATACTGCTTAGCCCATAACGAAGCCCATTACCCTGCCCTTGGGCATTATGTTTCTCCATCTTTGGCTTGTCTAAAAATGCTCCCATGATGAGTTGTTCTTTTAGCACTAATGGAAAAAAAAAAGAATATTGTTATTGAGCTATTTCTAGAAACCAAGTACCCATCTAAACATGTGTCACTAGAAACTATCAAATACAGAAAGTACAGTTGAAATGTTATAATGATCAGAAAAAGGAAAAGAAACAACAGCAAGAGAATTAAAGCTGGTTCCTAGTCCTTTCTGCTATATAAGAGTGAGCTTGTGTTCAAACACAAAAGTAAGCTTTAGCTCTGCACTGTCTTCCTTTGCTTGCATTGTTTTAAGACATTCAGTGTTAGCTGAAACAACGCCTCACTTTTTGGGAATATTTAGTTGGTACCCTCTGTTAAAGGATTGCACTGTATTGACAATTTGTAGTTTTTCCAATCAAGCACGATGAACCACCGTTCAAGCCATTAAATTAGTGCACATCTTAGATTCTTAGTTGTACTATATGGAAAGCATCTCAGACTCTGGTCCATATTTATTTAAAACTTCAAACTTTTTAAGTATTTAAAGCTTCTGTGAGGACTACTGCCCTTGACATATTTGAAGAAATCTGTTTAGAAAGTTACAGGTATTAGACATTCATATTTTATAAAGAAGCAGGCAATTTTTTTTCCATTAGTATTTCCCTTTCCCAGTCATATGTAGGTACAGAGTACTGTATATATAGCATACCATATACACACCGGCCAAGAAACAACGGTCTCTCACACAAAACTACGTATGCACCCATGCATGTACCCAAACAGAGTATTATACTTTAGACCAACAGAGGTTTATTCTCTCACACGCTAGATGTCCATCCCACCCTTTTGATCCCTATTAGTTTGTATAGTCATTCAAACATCCAAATCAGACAAAATTTTACATGGTCAAAAATTCTGCATCGTTCAGCCCGTGTAAGCCCTTGTTGTATAAACACAAGGTAATTTAAGACCTGCAGACCTATTCTGTTTGTGGACTAACAGGCTATCAATACAACTGATTGTGAGAAGGCCAGAACTATTTTCTGGTCCAGTCCCAAACTAGACTGCTATAATGGCAGAATTTATCACGTTCACAAGGGATATATACATCTATCTAAAGAACTGATCCACTGTGTATAAACAACAGTGCCACTTTGTTAGTGTAGTTCCTGAACTAACTGCAGTTAGAAGGAATACATTTCTCCCAGTAACCTTGCGGATTTTCTCTCACCTTCTGCCCATTTGAAAGCAAAACATGTACAGTCAAGGGCACACCACACAAGATTATTTACATTTGATCTAACTGCGGCAGCACATTAAAATATATGCATAGTTGACTGAATATGCAGTATTCTGTTGATAAGCATTCAGTGGGACAGTCAATATTAAAAGTGCAATGCTGTTGTTATTAACAGAATAACAAGTTAAAGTAAACTGTCAATTTGTAAATTAAATAGATTCTTATAGTAACTAATTATGGTTCACAAAGTGTAGCATACATATACTGTCATTTGTGTGTTAATGGCATATCCAAAACATACATTAGGAAAGAATCACATTACAACTGCTGTGGAAAGCATGTCTTCTTTACTTAAATCAACTAAAAACCACTATTGGAATGGGAATGGCCCAAGCTCCAGTGATTTACACAGCAGTAGAATAACTCAAGGATAGAATTATTTCAGTGAAGATGTGAGATTATTTATTGCACTATAATGATCTTTGAATATTTTGAAATAAAAACACAATAAGTGGAATTGAATTGAATAATTATTGCAAAGCTTTTAATTCCTGACCTGTAACTGCTTAATTGATTCTTATCTTGCCTTTTCAAGTTCTGTAAAATCTCTCTCCTTCCCATTTTGAAAAATTCAGACAAAAAGGGGAAAACTAGAAGATAAAAACACAGTAAAAATGCCTATATAAAAATGCTGTCAAATGCAAAGTATACAGACCAAACTTTTCCTCTAGTCATGATCAGGTAGGTGTGCCTTTTAAGTCACTGTCTCTTAAAAAGAATTTATATACATCTAAAAAAAGGGGATACTAACTATACCTTTAAGGTAGTTTGACCAACAACAGTCTAACGATGCTCAATGGAAAACAATTTAAGTTTGTTTGTTTGTTTGGGGGCGTTAAGTATCTACCCCTCCACTCATATCTCCTCTTTCATTTAGGGGAAGGCTGAAGCTTTTACTGCTTTGTCCAAATTAAGATTTCACAGGTATAATGTTAACAAATGTTACCTCGCACATTTAAAGATCTAGTGTAGCAGTGAATATATAATTAGATTGGAGGATAACTACAATGTGGCTGTGGAACTTGCATCTAAGAAATTTACTTAAGTAGAGGCCACAGCATACAGTACCATCATTTTGAAGGATGCATCCGCATGTGTCGGTTGCAACATATTTTTGTGAAAGAAAATGCCAACATCCAGTTTGGTTTTTGGGGGTAAGCAAACCAATTCTTTCCCTTCAGATACAATCAGGCCTTTAAAAATAATTTATTTGAAGGTAAAAAAACTCCCACTTCGAAGCAAAGGTGTTGAGCTTGCTGTTCCTAAAGAATTTCAGCTTTCATTAAACAAAACTAGAAATGTAAGTTAATAGAAATAGCCTTAAAATCAGGGGCAGGCAGTTAGTTCAGGGGGAGGGCTGCTTACCCAGTTTTGGCAAGCTTTCAAGAGCCCCATGGGTAGCCCAGCCCCTTGACAGATGGCCTGCCCCCTGGTCACCATGTTGGGACCAATGTCCCATGGCCACTGCCAGCAGGGCCCAGAGCAGGGCACAAGCTGGCAGGGGTCTGTGGAGCAGAGCTGGGCTGCACCTGCAGGGAGTAGGGAGCTGGCCGGGACCCTGTACTCCTGTTGCCCTGCTCTGGGCCACACCAGCACTGGCCCCAGGACATCGGTGTGGGCCCCACGCTCCTGTGCCCACTCACTCTCAGTGCCCCCCCCACCCCTTGAGCCCTGTGGTACAGGCGGGGGGGCAACGTGCAGCCCACACTCCGCGCTCACCGGCAGGGAACAAGCTAGTGCTGAGTTCCCCGGGGGGGAAAGCAGGATGGGGCATCAGCCACAGGGCAGGGGAGGGGCCACTTTTCCCCACGCTCAGCACCAGTTTGTAACCCACCACTGCTGCCAGGCTGGATCCCATGCCAGCTCCAGGCTCGCACATCGGGGCTGCGCCATGGCGGCAGCAGCT